AGCTCATGGCTCAGAGGCAAAGCGCCCCGAGTTCATTCCCCAGTAACAACCATTTGTGTAATTTTTCACTGTTTGATTGACAATTTAGGTCACACTCAGCTGAAGAGTTTTTTGCACTGGCATCTGCAGGGTGTTACCAGGTTGAGTGGACGGTTACTTGGTCTCCGCTCCTGGCTTATCCTCTAGCAGTCCAGGCAGGGCCTGTGCACACACTGCCCAAGGCTCCCCTGGTTTGCAAGCCCCTGCTTGCGTCAAGTTCGCCTACTCTGTATGGGCCAGTGTAATCAGGTGGTGATCCCAGAGTGGAAGGCACATGGATATGGAGAAGAAATGGAGTGGAGGTTCATTTTGCATCTGCCACAATGTCCGTGTACTTTTATTGTAAAAGTCCAAGTGAGAGGGAACAGTTTTATTGAGATGCAGTTGACATATAGGAAACAGTGCATATTTAAAGTGTTCAACTTGGCAAGTTTGGACCTAAATGAAACCATCCCCACAATCAAGTTAGGGAGCCCCCAGAAGTGTCCTCAGGTGTCTAATTATTGAACAGTTCAAACCATGTTTTCCTATGAAGAATCAAAGTCTGGTTTCTAACCACTAGCTTCCTTTCCCACTATCCCCCATCCTTTATCTTCCCATCCATGTGGTAACCTGGAAGAGCTCACAGTGAAGTCCCCATGTTCTCTCATGGGAGATGTAGAAATGGAACACTATTTGGAGCCCAGAGTTTCTTTGGTAACTATATGTGGAAATTCTGCATAGAGAATTCTAGGGATAGGGACAAAACTGCACAGGTGGAAGGAAATTTGGTTTGCAGTTCTGAAAAGCGGATCAGTGAGTTGTCCAGAGAAAGCCCCTTATTTTATATGAGATTAAAATTCTTTATAAAGCCACTCAGACACTGGGATTAAATTTAATTCCTAAAAAGCTTCCAATGTATAAATCTGACTAATTTTCTAGATTCTTGTCTGCTCCTGGGACAGAGTGAACCCTACAAGCTCTAATTGGTGACCCCCATGCTTCTGCACTGTAAGGTCCCAGAATGCACTTTCCATGCAGGTTCTACATGAGGACTGTCATTCATTTATTTAGAGACATTAGAGCCCCCCCCCTTTTTTTTAAATTTCTGGTCATTGGAGATAGGAAGGGAATTGTCTGTGGATGGTATCTCATATGATTGATTGACAGAAATCCTCTTTTTCAGTGGAAAAGTCTGACTCAGAGTTGGAAGACCGTGACTTTCCCTCCTATGTGTTTCTATCTCTAGGTCTTTTTTCTGGTTTGAAATAGGTTTTATGGTAAAGTTAGGTGATGGTCCTGGGTGGAGTTAAATTTGGCCATAAATGGGACAAAAGGATAGTGGGTCCGCATTCCTAAATGAAGGCTTTGGAAATTGAGCCAAGTCTGTGCTAAAACATCCCTTGGTCCTTTAACTCCTAAAGGAATTGCGTCTTGTAGGCTCCTGAGACTTAACTTCCAGCAGAACCCCTCCAAGAAGAAGAAAGGTCAGCAGAAAGACATATCTTTCCCAAAAATATACTTGGAGGCAAAATCCATAGGAAAGTTTTGCCTTTTACTCAGACAGTGGAGATTTTCTGATATCGGCAGGCCAATGATTGCTACTTTGTCCTTTTTTCCAAAATGGAGGTGGGGTACTGCCTCCCAGGGTGAAGTGTGAAACAGGTTAATACAGTGAGGTAATGGGCACACAGAAACCTCCAGTTTAGCAAAAAATTATTTAGAACTTTATTTAGATTCTCAGGACTTATTTATAACAGACAAGGGTCCTGTTTCAAGGTTCTTGGAGTGTGAAATAACTAAAAATGTTCATCAACTTATTCAACAAATGTGGTTCGGTGTTTCTTCTACTCCAGACCTGAGGCCTCCTGTACCCAAGGATACTTGACTAGAAGCCAGTATCTTGGTTCTACTCTGTTCTGGGTCTTAGGACAACCAGGATCTTCGCCTCATTGAATTTTCCCTTTCCTTGACTCTTCTAATTCACGATAGATCAGTGGTTCTCATCCAGGGTAGATTTTGCCCCAAGAGGACTTCTGGCAATGTCCAGGGGGCATTTGGGGTGGTTATGGCTTAACAGGGAAAGAGGGGGGAGATTGCTACTAGAATCTAATGACTTGAGGACACAGAGTTGCTAAATGTCTTACAATTCACAGGACAGCCTGCAGCACATGCATGTTCACAATATCTGACCCCAACTTCAACAGTGCCCAGGTTCAGAAGCCCTGGGAGAGAGTAACAATAGAATGCAGTTGAGGGAGAAATGGGGGACTATCAATACCACTTCAGGCTCATAAGGACAGTCATCCTTTGGAGCCCACCTAATTCAGCTCAGGTCACTAGGGCAAAGGCTTCCCTAGAGTAGCTGGAAGGTTGGAAATGCACTGAATCAAGTCTTTTTTCTTCTGGAGCAATCAGTTTGTATCTCACCTTCATACATGTGCTGGAGGTGTGACATACAGGGTCCAAGGCAGAGCACTACTTAGTAAAAAAGTACTGTGTTCATAAATATGTCCCTACCACTTGTTGAGAATCTTTAGACACTTCACATTTTCTGTACTCACTCCAACATCATCTACAAATGAAGAGTCAGGCTGCTGACAGGGTAGACATCCTGGTAAATGGCAGAGTTAGGACTCACATTGACCCTGCCCCAGTCCAACCCAGTGCTCCCCAAGAGCATTCAGCAGTCCTCAAGCCAACCCAAGAGGGTTTTAGTTTTGTGCCCTCAGTTCAAGAGCATCTCCCCATGGAGCTGAACCATGTGTAATGGAAGTTTTGTCCTCTCTGCTCCCTGTTGGAGGAGAGTTCTCATTGGGGGCCATTTCCTGGTTCAATCCACAATTTCCAAGAGAGTTCTGCGCTGTACTTCACATATCTCACCTCCAGCAAGCAGAGCTCTCTTCAGAGGGCTGAGGCTAGGATAGGGCACTCCTCTCCTATGTGACTTCCTTGGTGCCATGAGTCAAGATGGGATGCATGCACTCAGCCCTGTGCCACCTACAGCCTAATCTGCCCTTACTAGTTAGTTTTCTCAACTTTGTTCTGCTGGTAAGGGATTTTTCCTTGTCCCCTCCCCTAGTAGCAGTGTAAGCTATTGCAGTTGAAAAAGGAGAATTAAAGGGAGAATTGGGCCTCTGTCTGGCTCCTCTCCATCCTGAACCGTCATGTAGTCCACATAGACACTGTGGCCCTTGTGAATCTTGTGTCACTAATATTTATTGAGTCCCATGCCAGGCACTGTTCTGGGCTCTCTCATGCAGTTAAAAAATTCAGAAAACATTCTCATTCACATTACAGATGAGGGAATAGAGGCACAGGGAAACTTAGTAACTTTCCCAAGATTTTGCCATTAGCACTGATTGAGATTTGAACCTGGAACCCCCTTAACCATTATGTTCTGTTAATGGCTGGGAAGGTGGTAGTTAGGCCCAAGAAGTTGACAGTTTTATTTGAAAGCTAAGTTGTGAGAAGGGACTAAAAGTGACCACTTGGGATGCATAGCTATTAGATATGGAAAGGGAAGTGAGAAGGAAATATATACAGTGAGAACATTGATCCTTTCCCAATACATTCTTCCCCGGTGATAAAACAAACCCTGAAGAAGAGGTGTCCATCAAACTTGGAAAGGCAATCTCTGGGAAGAGGACGAAGCATAATCCTTCTATAAACAAATCCTTTCCAGATACCAACCACTGACCCCAGGCCCTCCATCAGGTCCAGTAAGATAAATCCCAGAAACTGACCACTGACCTAGACTCCCTCCCATTTTGCCCCGTAAAACAGACCCTAAATTCCTAAGCACTAAAACTGACCCCTTCACTGGTTGATAGAACAATCTCCAAATTCCTGGGTGCCCAAAGAAAATCGACATGCTCCCTAGACCACCCTCAGGGTAACCTAGACAAGCCCAGGCCCTTTCTTTTGTTTGGGGGCTCATTTTCCACCAGGAAAGTGGGTCCCACCATGGCATCATTTCGTCCCTACATCCCCTGCTCCTGTGTGAACCTTCGTTCCTGAACAAAGTGCTGAGCTGATTTGTGAAGTTTGCGTTCCTCCAGGTCTTTTTGCATTTACGGTAGCCTTGCAAGGAATGGTGGCTTTGTTCCTGTGTTTCAGATCTACTGGCTTATACACACTGACAAAGGCCAGAGTTTTCTTCCTCTTAAAGAAGACACTACAATGGGTTTCCTAAGAAAGCGTCTTATGAAAGTCCTCGGTATAGGTCAATGGCAACCACCTTTATCTTATCTTATTTTTTGTGGTGCTGGAGTTCAAACCCAGGCATTCCCAATGCTGAGGAGGTACTCTACCATTGAGTTACACCTCTGGTACTAAGAGCAACTATGAAAGCAAGACTCAATAAGTAAACTTTATGATGAAGGAGAGCAACCAGTCTGGAACAGTCCAGGTAACACACTTTCTAGATGGGGTCAAGGGAAGAGTGTGGTCCAGCAGGCGTGGTGCTGGAACCTAGAACATAGCTGAGAAGGGTGAAGATGAGCCAATAATGTGTAAATATATCTTGTTTTAGTCAGCTTTTCACTTCAGGGACCAAAGGACCTGACGAGCAATTTTAGAAGAGGAAATATTTATTTGGCTCATGGCTTCAGAGGTCTTAGTCCTGAGATGACTGACTCCATTTCCCTGGACCCAAAGTAAGGCAGAGCATTATGACAGAAGACTGTGATGGGGAACAGTGGCTTAGGACGTTGCACCAGGAAGCAAAGAGAGAGTCCTCCCCTCACCACAAACAAAATTTAAACCCCAAGGGCACACTGATTAGGTTACATTCATATCCTAATCATTCCACCTCTAAACTTTCTTGTATTGTCTCACACATGAGCTTTTGGGGACACCTAATATCTCACCATAACATAGGCAGTTGCGGTGGCACATGCCTGTAATCCCAGTGGCTCAGGAGGCTGAGACAGGAGTGTTGCAAGTTCAAAGCCAGTCTCAGCAACTTAGTGAGACCTAAGTAACTTAAACCCTGTCTCAAAATATAAAAAGGGCTGGGGATGTAGCTTAGTGGTAAAGCACCCCTAGGTTCAACCCATCCCTTGTACCAAAACATAAAACCAAAAACCTCATAACTTGTATTGTTAGTCTTGTCCTCGCTTCTCTCTTGCTGAGTTTGCTTTCTTTCTCTTGCCTTGGTGCTTATAAGAATCTATGTGCTTGAGTTAGTCTATTTTCAGATGAAACATAGTTATTGGTTGCCCATCATTCATTGTCCTTGATGGATGCTGAGCCTTTTGATGTGCTGCTTCAAGTTATCTTCAGTGCCAGAATATTTTCTTCTAGTATTTCAAGAGTAGTGTTTTTTTTCTGTCTTCAGAATATAGAGGGATGGAACTGGTGCAAAGACACAACAGTCCTCAGCTCTCTGAATTTCTGTTGTTTATCTTTGACTTGCATTATCTCTCTGAGAGCAAGCCCCTTGGCTGAAGAAGTCTCCTCAGAGCTCCCTTCAGTTCCCTGTTCCTGAGGCTGTAGATAAAGGGATTCAGCATGGGCGCAACCACGGTGTACATCACCGAGGCGATTGAACCCTTTCTGGACGGATGGGCTGTTCCAGAAGTGAGGTAGACCCCAAGGCCTGCGCCATAGAACAAGGAAACCACTGAGAGGTGAGACCCACAGGTGGAAAAGGCTTTGTACTTACCTCCAGCAGATGAAATGCCCACTATGGAGGAGATAATTCTAGCATAAGAAAAAAGAATCCCAGACAGGGGAATAATGCCCAGAAGGCCAGTTACACAATACAGCAGGACATCATTGGCAAGGGTGTCTGAGCAGGCCAGCTTGAGGATCTGAGCAAGTTCACAGAAGAAGTGAGGGACTTCTGTTTCTTTGCAGAAAGACACCCTCAAAACCATTAAACTCTGCAGCAAAGAATATGTCAGGCAGATTAGCCAAGAAAGCAGAAGCAGAAGACCACAAAGGCGAGGGTTCATGATGACTGTGTAGCGTAGCGGGTGACAGATGGCCACGAAGCGGTCATAAGCCATCACAGTCAGTAGCAAACTATCCAACCCAGAAAAAATCATGAAAAAGTACACCTGAGTAATGCAGGCTTCATAGGTGATGGCTTTGCTCTGTGCCTGGGCATTTGCTAACATCCTGGGAACCGTGGTGGAGGTGAAACAGATGTCCATGAAGGACAGGTGAGAGAGGAAGAGGTACATGGGGGTATGGAGGTGGGAGTCAGAGCTCACGGCCAGGACGATGAGCAGGTTCCCCAGGATGGTGACCAGGTACATGGACAGGAACAGCCCAAACAGGAGAGGCTGCAGGGCCTTATCTTCCCACAGTCCCAGAAGGATGAATTTTGAAGTAGCTGTTTGGTTCTCTGGTTCCATATAGCTCATGGAAATTGGCTAGAAAGAGGAAAGCATAGTTAAAACAGAAATGTGCCATACATTTAAAAATCATTCACTCATGAGCCTGATGTTTATCTAAGCATTTCTGTGTTCTTCAGCTGACCAACATCTCTCTAATACTGCCCTCTTTTCTGTGCTCTGACCACCAGCACCTGCAATGACTCATCTTTAAATAACTGTTCCATGCTGTGCAGAATTCTCCTTTGCATTGTCTCTGACCCATGGAGATTCCTCCTCTCTTGTTTAATTCCTGAGAAAGAGCCATCATCCTCACCAATACCTTATTTATGCCTTGCAGCTTTGGTCATTTTTTGTTCTAGGAAAATGGAGAGAGAGAGAGAGAGACATATCAGTGGGAGTTGCAGAATGTAATGGCAACTTATAGTCTTTATGCCATTGACCAGTGTCATGAAACAGACTCTTCTGTCTCAAGTTGGACTCACAGAATACTATGCAAATTTTTCATCCCTCTGTTTTCCCTCTACCTACACCATGAAGACCAAGGCATCTGCATGCCTCCATATGCCAAAGGTCAAATCAGACCCTCCACCGTGCATTCTAAATGCGTCTGCATGTTTGTGGAAGTTCTTAAATTTCTTTTAAGTCAAGGCATTTTTTTTAAGTTTATTTATTTATTTATCTTTATAGTACTGATGATTGAAAGCCTTCTACCTTTTATTTTGCTCCATTAAAAAATAAACCTTAATTTCTGTGTGAATATTAGCTATCTGTCACAGAAGGAAGTTTCTAAACTCAGAGAAGGTCTTTTAGAACTTCATTCACAGGAGGAAGAGGAAGTTCTCTTGAGCTGAAATGCACTTCTGTTTAATTTACACAGTCCTGGTTCCTCTCTCTGAAGATGGTTTCTCTCGGCTGTGAGAGTCTTTAGATACCTGAATACATCTAAATTACTCTCTTTGTGTCTCTTCATATTTTAACTTATTCCTCCCTTATGCAAGTGCCCACTCTGTCAGGCAGAGGGTTAGACCAAGAATACAAAGGGGAGAGGCCCAGGCTCTACCTTCCTGGAGCTTTGAGCACCTTGGAAATGTCGGTGGGTGCAGTGATGATTGTGATCAAAACCCTGATGATCCACTTGAGGAGTGAGAGTCTTGGATGTTCTCAAAATATTAGCTGGTCAAATTTAAGGACCACTGTATGAACTTCACTGAAAATTAGCATTAGATACTCGGCATCTTACAATCCCAGGAACCTCCTGTGCAGTGTCATGGATCTGATTCTTTGTACTTACCTGTCCTCTTCCCTGAGAGCCCTCTTTCTCCCTTATTCATTTGAAAAACTTCTGCCTTTCCTTTCACAGATTGTCCCCAGATCTTTCTTGACCGCCCCAGGCAGCGAAGACCACTCTCTGTTTGGCCTCTGCTGTACTTTAGAAAACTGGACTGCATGAGACGGGCGCTCTCACATTGCCCATGTGGTCAGGTCTGGACTTCTCTTCCTCCCACCTCTTGATGTGCGTATCTAGCTCAGTGCTCGCCTGGGGGAGATGCTCTGCAGATGTGCTACATCCTCTAGGGAAGTGTCCAAGTGGGCGGAGAGGGAGCGATGAGGGGGAGGCCCAGGAGATGAGAGGTGGGGAGACAGGAGAGCCAACCTAAAGATGCAGAGCAGAGCATAAACAACAGAAGGGCTGGGAAAGCCCTGTTCAGAGGCAAAGTGTGTATTTGATTTCCCTTTTTTCTGCCTCTGGGGTCCCTGCCTAGGCACCAGGAAAGTGCATAAGTGAAAGAATTGGCCCCCCTTGCCTCTTTGCCACACCACTTCCTGAGCAAACTAGGTCATTACAATGGAATTTCTATTATCTTTGCTTCTCCAAATGGGGGACCAAAAAGCATTGCACTGGGAGCCCAGAGGGGCAAGGACAAAAAGCTAAGCACACCTGGTCAGAGCAACACCTGGGTGGCCCAGGGGGGCATTTCCCTGTGGCCTGGGATAAGTGAACATTGAACTGCAAATGGGGGAAGGGGGGTTAATCCTCTAACTTCTTATTAAATAAATTGCTGTTTTGATTGTCTTTCTGGAGAGGTTCCCTCCTGGGGGTGAGAGGAGTGATCTGTTCTGCCATGTTTACCATCCATGCCTTTTACCTACCCCAGCCCCACATCTTAAACCTGACTGGAATTTTTTTCCTTTTTTGCTTTTTCCCTGATGCTGGCTATTGAACACTGAACCAACCTAAAGAAGCAGAGTGGAGCATAAACGACATAAACGTCCTTGCCCCTCTGGGCTCCCAGTGCAATGCTGTTTGGTCCCCCATTTGGAGAAGCAAAGATAATAGAGCCCAATCTTCAGAAATTCCATTGTAATGACCTAGTTTGCTCAGGAAGTGGTGTGGCAAAGAGGCAAGGGGGCCAATGCTTTCACTTATGCACTTTCCTGGTGCCTAGGCAGGGACCCCAGAGGCAGACCCCAGCCCTTTTTATTTTTTATTAATTTCACTTTGAGATAAGATATCGATAACTTGCCCAGACTGTCCTTGAATTTGGAATCTTCCTGCCTCAGCCTCCTGATAACTGGGATTACAGGCATGTAGTCACCCAGCCCTGCAGGGTTTTTTTTTTTTCTCCTAAAACTATTATTCTCTCAGGTGTGGACTCCAAAGTACCCAGCTTCCCTTCAGGAACATTTTACTCCATCTCCAGTTTCTTAACAAATCTAAGGATTAAGAATCATCCTTAGTCAAATCTTGTTCGGTGTCCAGAGCACAAAAAGATCTCCAAGAAATCTGGAGAGACAAAATATATTTTATTTATTTATTATATCATGAATATTCAGTAGGATTTTTCTCTAATAGCACCTATGAGATGGACTCATAGAATTAAGGGTAGAACTTGAATGCTCTGTAAGTAATGAAGGTGTAGCCAGGCACAGTAGCACACTGTAATCCCAGCTGCTCTGGAAACTGAGGCAGAGGGATCACAAGTTCAGGGACAGTCTTGATGAGGTGGAGGCAACAGTTGGTAATATAGTGAGACTCTGTCTCAAAATAAAAAGTAGAAACACCTGGGCATGTAGCTCAGTGGTAGAACAACCCTGAATTCAATCCCGTGGCTGAAAAAAAAAAAATTGAAAAATGCCAGAATGTTGGCACAAGTGCCAAATTCCCTAACAAGAACCAAATATGAAAATTAAATAAATAATCAGTGGGATGGCATCAAACTAAAAATCTTCTGCACAGCAAAGGAAACTGTGAAATCTTCTGCACAGTAAAGAAAGAGACTACAGAATGCAAAAAGTTCTTTGCCAGCTGCTTCTCCAAAGGAGGATTAATATTCAGAATATATAAAGAACTCAAAAAACATCAAAGCCCTCAAATAACCCAATTAATAAAATGGCCATTTATTAAGGAGGTTGGTGCTTATGCCATTTTTTGGGGTGTCATGCCTGTGTATACTCTAACAGTTGCAAAGTTTCTGCTTTAATTGCTAGGAATCTCTATTTTCACTCTTCCAAATAAATTTTAGAAATGTTTGTTCTAGTTTCTAAAAAAAAAAAAAAAAAAGCTGAGGATCAGATGGATTCTCAGTCAAGTTCTACCAGACCTCTAAGGAAGAACACACACCAATCCTCTTCAAATCATTCTGTAAAATACAAAGGGTGGGAACACTGCCAAATTCATTCTATGAAGAAGTCAGCATCACCCTGATACCAATACTAAGGGCATATCAAGGAAAGAAAGCATCAGACCAATATCTATGATGAACCTAGACCAAAAAAATCCTTAATAAAGTTTTGGAAAATCATATTCAAAAACCCTCCCTCCCTCCTTTTCTTTCTTCTTTCTACAGTGGATAATGAACCCTGGGAGGCTTAACTACTAAGCCACATCCCCAACCCTTTTAATTCTTTTTACTCTTATTTTTATTTTGAGACAGGCTCTCACAAATTTGCTTAAGTCCTTGAAAACTTGCTGGAGCTGGTTTTGTGTTTGTGATACTCCTGCCTCAGCCTCCCAAGCCACTGTGATTACAGACATGTACCATCAGGCCAGTCTAACGAAGCATTCTTGAACATTATTTTTTTCTGGGCTTGGTGGCTCACAACTATAATCTCAGCTCCTGGGGAGGCTGAGGCAGGAGGATCGTGAGTTCAAAGCCAGCCTCAGAAACTTAGCGAGCCCTAAACTACTCAACAAAAACCTGTCTCTAAATAAAATATAAATGTGGCTCAATGGTTAAGCATCATGGATACAAAAAAAAAAAAAAAAAAAAAACCCACAAAAACAAAAACTTTCCCTTTAAACAATGCTCTATGGTTTGAATAGAGTTTCTGTCCTTGGTGATGAAGGCTGGGTCTGCAGGGTGGTAATATTAGCCATTTTCCAAAAGAAGATAAAAATGTTCAGCAGATTTATGAAGAACGACTCAGCATCACAGATCATCTGGGTAATCATAAGGAAAACCACAATGAGACATCAGGTCACACCAGTTAGAAAGTTTAATCTCAAAAAACAAAACAAAACATGTTTGTGAGAATATGGAGAAAAGGGACCTCTGACTGCAATATTGGGCAACATAAATCAGTGTAATAATTATGGGAAACATTTGCAGGTTCCTTCAAATTTAAAATACAGCTACCATAAGATTCAGTAATCCCATTACTGCACATCTGTATAATGTGCATGAAATTGGAATGTCAAAGTAGATGTACAAACCTATCATCGTGGCAGCAGTACTCACAATAATTAATGTAGGGAATCACCATTAGTGTTTATTATCATGTAAATAAATAAATATGCTGTACATACGCAATGAAATACCACTGTGCATGAAAAGTAAAACAATCTGGGTATTTGATGCATTATGGAGGAACCAGTGTGACATGATGTAGGTGACAGGGCCAGCCATAGGAAGACAAGCACTGCCAGAGCTCACTTAGAGGTGGATCTAACAGCAGAACTTAGACAGAAGATGGTGACCAGGTCAGCTGTGGGGTAGAAGTTAGGGAGTTAGCAGTCAGAGTCACCAAATTTGAGATAGATTTGATGAACAGCTGATTAGCTAATCATTAACAATAAGCTTCCAAGTGGAGACATGGGAAAAATCATACAGAAGGGGGAAATATTGCTAAAACCATATATGATAAGGGTGGTATCTAGACCATGTCATGAACTCTTACAGGTGAGAAACAAAGGTACAACCTGCATAATTACGAAATGAGCATTGACTCCGTAAGACATTTCCCCACAAAAGATCCATCAACTGCCAACAAGCCCCTAAAAAAGATGCTCAATTAGTTACAGGGAAATGCAAATCCAAAGCAACATGAGATTGCTTCACAGCCAATAGAAAGCTTTAATTTACATCAAATTGAAGATGATGAGTTTTGGCAGCAAGGTAAAGAGGCCTGAACCTCCCACACTAGACATGAAACGTGCCAGCTACAACGAAAAGCAGTTTGGTGATTCTTCATTAAGTTGTACCTACCATTGCCTTATTACCCAGTATCTCCTTCCTATGTACATTTTATCCAAGCAACTGAACATAGAGTCTCGCATGTTTGAGCACCGAGAGTATGTCCTGAGAAGTGCACAGTTGGGCAGTTTTGTCATTGTGCAAACATCACAAAGTCACTTACATAAATCAGCATGGGTGTGACATCACTAGACAGCCTGAAGTTACGGGACCACCCCGGTGTGTGCAGTCTGTCATCTACCCAAGCATCATCAATGTAGCACACACCTGTCCTCGAGCTCTGAACACTATTGTGAGTGCCCACAGGAGCAGGACCATTCACACAGGACCATTCAAATCACCCAGGTGTCCATCAGTGCATGGGTGGATGAGCAGTTTATGATGTACCCTGGAGGAAAAAAATTATTCCACCATAGAAAGAAGATAAATAGTTAAGATTCATTCATAAGATAGCCAAAACCAAGGAGGAAAACAGGAAAGGAAGGAAGAAAGGAAGAGGGCAAGATCACAAGGAGGGAAGCAAGATGAGGCACTGTATCACCACATTCATGAAACTGGAATGTCAAGTTCACATTACACTCATTGAGCCAAAGTAGGATAACAGAGGGAGAAGGGTGTGCTCAGTGCAGGCTTGCTCTTACGCACCCACGGAGAGTCTGCTCCCTTCAGAAATTATGTGCATGAGAGAGAATACGTCAAAGAACTCTTTGCAGGATAAGTAAAATCAAAGATGAAGATCAACAAGCACAGGACAGACGTGGTAAGCACCTTGATGATTTTCATTTCACTGCTAGGGAAAACAAGAATACATTGATGTTCAGGTGAAGAACATTCATAAGTTTTGAAGAACCCATGTTAGCACTTGATGTGGGTTCTTATTTTTCAGATGTCGATGGATCTGTATTTTATTTTTTATATGTGGTGTTGAGAATCGAACCCAGTACCTCACACATGCTATACAAGCACACTATCACTGAGCCACAACCGCAGCCCCATTGATGTAGATTCTATGTCAAGTTGGAAAACTCAGAAATTCCTGTAAGAAAACTTATGGACTATGTTTAGGGAAGAAAATTGAAATGGATCACTAAAGCAGTAAATAGGGTGAAATACATACAAAAATATAAAGCAGCAAAGTCATAGGGAATGAAAGCAATTAATCATTTACTCAAGGAAAAAAAATAAGCCTAGATAGTCAAGTTCACATTTGAATTATGAAATATATTTTCCACTAATTCTGAGGTCAGTTATCCATCCATCAAGGGTCAAAACCTGCTCTGCTGAGGAGTCTCCACAGGGCCCCCTTCACATCCTTATTCCTCAGGCTGTAGATGAAGGGGTTCAGCATGGGGGTGACCACAGTGTACATCACGGAGGCAATCATGGTTCTCTGGGAAGAATGGGTCCCAGCAGAACTGAGGTAAACCCCAAGGCCTGCCCCATAAAATAGGGCAACCACACAGAGGTGGGACCCACAGGTGGAAAATGCTTTATACTTGGCCACAGAAGAGGACATCCTCAATAAGGAGGAGACAATCTGAGAGTAGGAGAAGAGGATCCCAGTCATAGGAAAAACCCCCAGCACAGTGGTGCTCACATACAGAAAAATATTATTGATGAGTGTATCAGATGTGGCCACCTTGAAAAGCTGAGCCAGTCCACAGAAGAAATGTGGGATAACAGTGCCAGCGGAGAAGGTCAGTCGCTTCACCAGTAGAATATGAACCAGGGAGACCCAGAACATGATGAGCCAAGACAGCAGAACCAGAAGAACACAGAACCGTGGATTCATGGTGACTATGTAGTTCAATGGATGACAGATGGCCACAAACCGGTCATAAGCCATCATGGTCAGTAGGAAATTATCCATTGCAGCAAATGTATTTAAAAAATATGCCTGTGCCAGGCACTCTGTGTAGGAGATGTCTTTGTTCTGTGCCTGGATGTTCACCAGCATCTTTGGGACCGTGGTGGAGATGAAGCAGATATCAACAAAGGACAGGTTGGAGAGGAAGAAGTACATGGGGGTGTGGAGGTGGGAGTCAGAGCTGACAGCCAGGATGATGAGCAGGTTCCCAAGCACTGTGACCAGGTACATGGACAGGAACAGTCCAAAGAGGATGGGCTGCAGTTTAGCACCATCTGAGAGGCCCAGGAGGAGGAATTCTGATTCACTTGTGCAGTTTCCACTTCCATGGAGCTGGTGCATCTGCTGGGGAAAGAGGGAAAGGCAACCTTCACAGAATATCCCACTAGCCCCTCCCATGTTCTCTCTTTGCCATCTCACCCTTGGGTGGATGCCACTCCTCTTGCATTAAACCCTCCAGAGGACAATGACCCACTCAGCAGAATGACAACCCAGTTCTATTTCCAAGTGTGTAAAGTCAGTCTGCCTTCCTCAACTTAGCTGAGAGTCCTCTCCCTTTATCATCCACTCTCTAGTTTTGGTTGTTCTATCTGAACCTATGGACATCAACTAATTCCTTCTTTCATGACTCGTTGACAGTATTTGAAGATATTTCATGATGTGTTCTTGATACCTACCTCATTAGGCATTCTAATAGTGCTGTAATAGGAATTAAATATGGAATTTGAACTCAACCTATAATTTTGACTGGACACTTTATCAATTTGTGACAGCTAACTCACACTACCTATTTTTTTTTCCTAACAGTACAGTTATCAATATTACTGTATTTTTGAGGTTTAAAATTGCTTTAGACCCTATAGGGCCTTAAAATGGATTTCTGCCATTGTTTTGTTTTGTTTTTTAATTTTTAATATTTATTTTTCAGTTTTTGGCAGACACAACATCTTTGTTTGTATGTGGTGCTGAGGATTGAACCCGGGCCGCACGCATGCCAGGCAAGCGTGCTACCGCTTGAGCCACATCCCCAGCCCCTGCCATTGTTAATATTAACACAATCATTATTAATCTCCTCATCTGTGATACATATTGTGGATACATAACACACACAAAGTGCAGCATGTAGCTGTGATTTACTAATTGGATTCTTGCGTAGATTTCATTTAATTCAATATTGGTTCGCAATGTGCCACCTGGGTAAATATGAGAAAATTACTTCTGTTACATTACATCATTTATCTCACAGTAGGAGTCATAAGTATTCACTATATCATGGGTGTACAGAGTGAAATTAAATGTAATACTGCATGGAATTCCTCCACTGTGGTTCCTGTGACACACTACAGGCACTTCGTAAGTGTGAACTTCTGAAGCATTCTTAACATTGTAATAAATCTATTGGCATGGCTACCACTTCTCAATATCCCTCTTTATGGGGGACGTCCTTAAGGGTGAAATTCTAATCAATAGAAGCAATATCTGTGTTTCCAGTTTTAAATGCACATAGTTCTTATAATTTGTGATGATCCCTATGGCTCCTTCTTTCAGAGAAGTCCGCCATGTGAATCAGTCCAGGAAGAGGAAGAAGTCTACAAACTAACATAGATAAGAGGAAGAACCCTAAACACACCACCATTACAGAGAAAAGCAAAAGCCAGGCACTGTGACGCACACCGGTAATCCCAGCAACTCAGAATTCAGAGGCAGGGGCACTGCAAGCTCCAGGCCAGCCTTGGCCCAGCCTCAAATTAAAAATTAAAATGTGCTGGGGATGTAGGTGAGTGGTAGAATGCCCCTGGGCTTAATCCCCACAACTAAAACAACGAATATGTGAAGAAACATAAGTTATAATGAAATGAAGTTGCTCACTGGTACAGTACTCCTGAGTTCAGTCACCAGTACTTAAAAAAAAAAAAAAAAAGTCAAGTACAAGGGACGCATGGAAATGTGTGCCCATATGATCTTGAGTGTAGAGATATTATTTTAAAACCTTCATAATCAATGGCCAAAATAAACAATTGATGGATCTGATTGCCAATATTCAAACAGTATATAAACCCAATAATGGTAAAACAGGCCAATTTATGATTTAAGAATAAAAGATCATCAAGAATCAGAACTGTGATGCCTTTGCAGCACACTGACTAATTCAGGACACAAAAAAATCACTGAGCACGATCTAGTCAGTGAAGGTGGGAAGGAGAGGCTTCTCTGAAACAGGAATGTTTGAACTGGGAGAGGCAGGACAGGTCATTACTCATCAGGGGAAAGAAAGAAGAGACTTTCTAGCTGGTGAGAAGAGCCCGGGATTGACCTACCAGATGGTGAGCTGCTACACTGCTCAGTCAGCATGTCCTCCTGAGATGCCATCAGAAGACACCTGAGCACCCAACATCAGGTGTAGCTGTGTTATCATATTTCACGGCACCATTGAAGTGAACAGATAAAAACAGCGAATCAGGCACAATCTGCAGCTATTCAGTGACGTCATTAAGTCAGTCTGACAGCAGCATCGGTAGATTACAAAAGAACAACCGGTCACATCAGAGCAATACCTTATGCAGAAGGGATCTTCAGAGAGCAGTTAGCAAATAAATGATTGAAAGAGGAAATCTAATAGGGACCTGTCATTCAGGGAGGGAGTGGAGGAGATCGGGAGACCCTCCAGAAAGCACTGCCTTCAAGGAATGGCCATTTCAGACTCCTCCAGAGAGTAAAAGTACCTTGCACGTGCAGGACCTTCACCTTCAGAGACTGGCTACCCTGGGCTGCCTAGGGTCACTGTCCTGGAGTAGAGCCCGGTGCCCACCTTCCCTTTTCCTTCCTGCTGCACCAGCCACACTGGACACGCCGACTCTCTCCAAGGGCTACCACTGGAGATGTCCCTTCTGCACAGCCGGTTCCAGGGAGCCACTTGGGTTTTCACAGAGGCCTGGAACAAAGAAGTCAGGAGAGGGGAGCAGGGGCTTGCTTCAAATTTCTAGCAGCTCAAGGGTTGAATTCTCTGTGCTCCTCACTGAGTCAGTCTTTGTGTTGTATTCTCACTCTCCAAACAATTCAGCTCCCCTGGGCACAGAGCAGAGGGCACAGTGGAAAATTTTCAGTCTATATTTCAGCAAGAGGGTGAGATGGACTTATTTCCTCCAAGGAAAACATCTGTTTTCTTTGCTTTCACTAAATGTACCAAGTGTCCCCTAAGGAATGTTTAATTTCTACAAGGAACTAATCAGAAGAATCATTCCTCTGTGAGGGGCCTCCCCCAAACAATCTTTGAAGGTTTAATGAATTACTTAATTTCCACAATGTTAAATTCATGATAATTAATAGTGTCAAGGTAGATAGTGAGGGGATTGTAAATGGAGTCCTAGTCAAAGGGGACTCCATTCCTGTGGGTGTAAGAGTTTTAAAAATTGGGAATGTATAGTTTATGCTCACTATGCACACATGCACCACCAATGTAATTTTCAAAAATTTTCTTCATACTTTCCTATGGTTTTTATTCATTTTCAAATTTTACTCAATTTATTTTATGCATTTTTGTTCATCTTTTTAGGGGATAAGGAGGAAATAGCTAAAAAGGGTCAGATTGTGTTTTTGAGGTGATAAAGATGTTCTAGAATTCATAAGGTCTCACATGTGTATGAAAAGGCTAGAAGACATTAAGTTATACACTTTCAAAGGGTGCATGACATTGCAAGTGAATTATATGTCAATAAAGCTTTAAGCAAAGCTAATCAAACTAATATCAGATATTAAAAGATATATTATTGTGGTTCAAGATGCAAAAGTGATATTGTACACAATGGATTGTAGGTTCTAGAAAGACATAGAGAAGGATTTTACTTTGTTCCTTTAAGGGGAATGACATCACTTGGGAGGTATTGAGGGTTGGCTGAATGGTTTGCAGTGCTGGGATGGAACCCAGGGCCTCCTGCACACCAGGCAGGTGCTCTGCCTGTTAGCTACACCTATGGCCCTGGGAGGTACCTTGTGACTCTGCTGAAGGAAGGAGGTTTACACTCCAGTGCCAGCTACCTGCAGAGTGCCAGCATCGGGAATTCACCCACTCTCCATGTTTGCAGGCAGAGGTGTAAGGAACATGCCTGCAAGAGGAAATCAGTTCTAAAGTTCATTTCCAAATTTCTTTCTTCCTCATACTGAATCTTATAATATCCTAGAAAACATTCTATATTTTATAGAATATAGATAATATCATAAAACAGGATAATGTAATATTAGCTATTGTAAAAGATGTAATTAATATAATTAAAATGTATTATTAAATAATTAATTATTGTGCCAGAAACTATGTTTTAATGTTATATAACATATTTCATAGTACTATAATATATATTGTAATATTCTACAAGATCTTATGTCAAAATAAATACATAATTTGTTAAATTAAAATCAATATTATCAAATGCAGGTGCTCAATTATAATAATTTCCAATTTTACTTAAATTTGAGTGCTATTCAGTTCAATTTCTTTTAATTCTCTTTGTCTGTTTGTAGACTCAACTTTAGGTTCATCCTATTCTGCAACAAGATGAACTTTTTTTCACGTGACCCAAAGTCATAAGCCCTGGAGACATTTGTTAATTATTGGTAGCTTGATGTGATGTCAGTGAACAGACACTGTTGATGGAAAAGAAACCCTTTTCTTTTGTTGGCTTTCTGACTGCATGACCTGGAACAGCATGAGGCCATCTTCAGAAATATCAAGATCAGAGTCCATTTCTATTCCCATGCCAGTTCTGCTACAGGGATCTTCTGGTAAAGCATGGTGGTGTGGTGGACTGGGGCTGTGTCAGACAGTGGAGGAATGTCTCCAGAATCTTAGTGTGGGAGGAGCCAAGTGTCCTGACAGAGGGCAAGCATGTGTAGTGGACCGCTTCTGACATGTTTCTAACAGATCCAACCTCCTGTGTGCGAGTCATTGTGCACACCCATTTCTTTGAGCATGTCCTGGACCTGACGATTTACTTCCAACCAATGCTATGTGACAGAAGGGACCAGATGTCACTTTTGAGATTAGGGTATAAAAAGACACTGGCTTCTTTCTGGTTTTCTGTTTCTACCCCACCTATCTGTTCTTTCTGATGGAAACCAACTGCCCTGTGTGATATGCTTCATGCAGAAGTCTATGCAGCAAAGAACTAAGGGTGGCCTTTGACCAACAGCCCTGAAAGAACTGAGTCCTCCACCAGCCACAGGAGTGAGCTTGGAAGCAGGTCTTCTCCAGCAGACTCTTGAGTGACTGCAGCCTTGTGTGATACCATAGGTTATTAAGGGAAATAGCAAGTTATAAGTAACACATCATAGATAAGAAAAAAAATCAATTT